TGATGCTGCTTGGCCTGCTGTGTTCATCCAGCCCTGCACCTTGTTGTCTCGGATTCTCCAGCATCTGCAGTTCCTACTATCTCTGATTCAATTAAAAATTTTGGGATTTTTTTTGTTAACTATAGCACAATTCTCACATAGCTGAATGATAATGACTTGTGCATGGTAACTACAGTATTTATGTTGGAGAAAAACCCTCAAAACAAAATGTTGCTCTGAAATATATATGCATTTTTGCGGCAAGAATTTTTTTGTTGCTTCAGCATGACAAGTCAGTAACCTACAGCTTTCAAGTTTCTCAAATGGTGACTAAAACAATTGAATGGTTAATTTTGCATTATTTAACACTGTGCACTGGCTCAGGTTACTCAACCTCTCCACTTGTCTGAGGCATGGTGACCCTCAGTTTAAAATACACCAGTCATCTCTCTCTGATAAGAAAGCAACAAATGGTCTGGTAAGACTATAGCAATGTTACTTTTTTTTAAAACTATCTATTACTAAATGCTAAAGCAGGAATTTTGCATCTGTGTGTCTTCAATTTGAAACTGAAATGCAAATACTAAAAATCTGCTGCCCATCTATCTTATATTTATTAAACAAAATTGTACTAATTTGTAATCACTTTCATTATTTACTAAACATGACTAGATGAAAAAATGGTTTCATTATAATGCATTTGTCACAGGTCATTAGAAACTGCATTAAGAGCAAACTTCTACGGTCATCTCTGAAGAAGCCGATGTCAGATAGAAAGTAGAACATGATTGCATTGGCAAGCATCCTATTTTCTGTCAGTGATTCAGAATCTTCTTAGTAGATAAAGAAAACAGCAGTCAAAATGATGAATAAGAAACATTTACTGAACAGCTTATTATCTAAGATAATGCAAATTAAGTAACTGATTTATAATGAAGATTTTGCAATTACATCATGAAAATTGGTGGTCTTCATGATATTTAACAGGAGCTGTGTACATAATTTTGATCTTAAGGTTTGTAATAAAAGTTTCAGGTTGTAAAATATACGAAAGCAAGCAGTGAAGGAATTTTTTTTCTGACATTTAAACACTATTGCTATATATTGTGTAAAAGTCTAACACAAGTTATCACAAGCATGCACTCATTACTCTTACATAGAATATAATTGAAGAACAATTCAAACCATGCACATTAACTTTATCCTGGATTTTAAGTTAAATACAATTTTAATTGCATGCATATTTTAATTTTATATCACATGACAGGAGAAATTCCAGACAATCTGCTACTTTAATAAATGGGAAACCCCATTTTTAGTCCCCAAACATAATTATTTCATGAAAGGCTTTTGAATGTATCAGAGGGCATTTCTGAAGGTATTTACAGCAGGATGCCCTTGAAGGAGACAGTAATTAAAATAAACGTGCTACATTGAATAACCAGATGCGTTCATCAAAACTATAAATATCAGGGTGTTGTTCTGCATTCTACCAGTTTCCGAAAGCTCCTTCTGAAGCTATCATCTAGAAAGGCATAGAGGAAAGGATTAAGACAACTATTCGCATAGCTCAGGCTAGTGATAAAGTAGGAGATTCCAATGATGAGCGTGGTCTGTTGAATATCTGTTGTTAAAGCTAATATCGTGCTCAAATGGTAAGGTGTCCAACAGAAAAGACAGACTGCTAGAATAATCACCACCATTAATGTAACCTTTTTCTTCGCTTTGTCCAGAGCTTTGGCGTTGGTGTTCAAGCGCATGTTTCTCAACCTGAGTAACATCATTGAGTACAGGATGCAAATTGTGGACACTGGGATGGTGAATCCCACTAGGAGAGTATAGATCCGACTAGCTTTCCACCACAGAATCTCAGGAGATGGAAACACATAGACACATTGCAGCCTGCCTTCGTCATCGTGAATCTTGCCAAAAATTGTGAAGGGCAAAATGGTGACAGTGACGAAGAGCCAAACACATATACAGACTATCTTAGCCGCTCTATAAGTACGATAAGACATTTTCTTGGACCTCGCGGTGGCCAGGACCACCAGGTAACGATCAATGCTCATGACAGTCAAAAAGTAAATGCTTGAGAACGTGTTGTATTGGTCGATGGAAATGATTAATTTACACATCAGCTCGCCAAAGGGCCACTGAAGCAGCAGGTAGTCAGCAATGTTTATGGGTAAAACCAGAGTGAAAAGTTCATCGGCGATGGCTAGGTTTAGTATGAACATGTTTGTCACCGTTTTCATTTTCGGAGCTTTGAGTATAACATAAATGACAGCTGTGTTACCCGTTAACCCAACGGCACATATAACGGAATATATGACAGGGATAGCAATGTAAAAATCAGGGTATAGACCTGGCCGTGTCGAATTGGTCCCATTGCCATTTGCGGACAAACAATTCGCCTGCTGGTCCGCGCAGGAGATGTTCGAAGATACCGGATTCGGAGAGAGATTTTCCATGTTTTTAATGCTAGTGTGGTGGAATCGCTCACAGTTTTGCTTATTGTAAATACTACAGCAGAGAGAAAACCGTGCACCTTAGAAACACTAGACAGATTTGAGGACTTCATTTAGAAGATCCAATACTTGAGTGTTTGATTGACAATTCAACACAGTAACTGGACAAAAAAATCAAAGTTTATTGGTAAAGCTTACTCAGTGACATAATACTGCCAGCAATCCTATGAACTCTAGCTGTACTTGGAGGTTAAATGAAAAGATAAATTCCTTTTTAAAAAAAAAGCTTTTCTTTCCGGAGATAAGATCAGTCCTTAATTTTCCACAATGACGGAGTGAACTGGCGGGGCGAAATATGATTTTTGTATATATTTGCTATCCTTCGGACCTCTATTTAAAACTGTAGCGATCTGCTGCAGCCTTTGGTGTGCTGTCAGTAATTACATTTTGCAATTTTATTTCAAATTACCGCGAAGTCGTTGCCATCTTTCTTAGCAATCACCAACAGATGAATGTTTACTAAATAGATCAAGGAAAGAAAAAGCAAGCATTTAGCACCAAAGGACTTCCAATGCACTTTAACAAAAAAAAACATGAGATAGGGAAAAAGACTAGCAATTACATTTTATCCTACTCTACCTCCGTACAGGGGCGGCATGTTTGTTTGTCTAATAGCTAATTGAATTATTTTCTAGCTCATTTAACCATACAGCATGCACATTTAGATTCAAATTAAACGCACATACTGTACCGTTTAGACGCAACCAGAACTCGCTGCACTTAACCCGATGTTTGACGAAACTTGCTTTGCTGCTGTTCAGATGGTACTGGTGGAGTAATTGTTCTCCGACAACAGAGTCCGATGTGACCGGCTACCCGGTGATTCGCTGCGGGTTTAAGCACAGACGCAAATTAGTGGACGCCAAGACCTTTCACCATAGGAACCAGAGATCAGGTCCATTGCCCTCTCAGCACATTCAGCCCTTTCATCTCAACGTTTCAGTTTTTGACGCCGAGGGGAAAGGGCTAACTTAATTTCCAAATAGAAGCTGGAAAGCTCAAGGACTTTTTTTTTGGCATCAACAGCTCAGTTTAATGAAGCGTGACAGATATAATATTGTCATATTTGAGACTTCAGCTTTGCAATTTTGTGGGCGGTCGACTCGAAACCCAAAAGATGCAGCTGAGATGTTCTTTCCTTTGATCTGGAATAACACAATGTATGTTTAATACATAGTCACACGCTGTGTTGCGATCTGAATTGATACCAGTTAATAGCTGATGGCTGTGGGCATATAGCGGAATAAATAAAATGCGATTACTCTATCGAAATCAAGCACTAGCTGCAGAAGAAAGCCTGATTCTTTAGAATGCCAGGTATAATAAAGTCAGCACACAATTAAAATACCGGACGGGTGGAAAGCAGGAGACTCTAAAAATACTCAGCAACTTAGACAGCGTTCGTGGTGAGAGAAACGGAGCTAACGTTCCAGATCGATGGATTTAGTCCGGCGTGTATACACTTCATAGAGCCACTTTAATGCAACCGAGGGACATCTCATCATATTAATAAAATGTTGCCGGTTCGATGCGTACGTTGGCAGATGACACGAAAATAGCGAGGCTTTCGCTCCACAGGACATTACAGTCAGACTAATCAGATGGGCTGAACAGCGGCAAATGGAATTTAATCCTCAAGGGTGTGAAGTGATGCATTTTGGGGAAGGGAGTACACTTGAATTGCAGGAGGCCGGGAAGTATGGAGGATCCGAAGGAGCTTGTGTGCATATCCATAGATCCTGAAGTAGCAGGCCAGGTAAATAAGATGGTTAGGAAAACATAAGGGATAGTTGCCTCTATTAGTCAAAACGTTGAGTACAAGATGAAAGAAGTAACAATGGACTTGTATACCACATTAGTTGGACCATTGCTGGAGTTCTTTGTGTAGTTTGGGTCACCACAATAGGGAAGGATGTGATTGCATTCCAAAGGGTACAGGTGAAATTCACTAGGATGTTGGCTAGACTAGAGTGATTCAGTTGTGAAGAGAGGCTAGATATGCTAAGGTTGTTTTCCTTACAGCAGAGAAGGCTGACGAAGGATTTGATTCAAGTAATGAGGGGCATAGATAGGGTAGATGGAAAAGAACATTTCCCTCCAGTAGAGGTGTCAGTAACCAGGGGATAGAGGTTTTACATTAAGAAGCAAAAGGCTGAATTTGATTTTTTTCCTGCAATTTCTGTTTTTGTTTGAAGTTTTATTTTCACTCGGAGGTTGAAGGGTATCAGGCTAAACTCACTAGTAGAGGTAGAGGAATCATCAAGATAATTTAAAAAGTATTTAAATGTGGTTAGAGTCATACAGTCATAGAGATGTACTACACAGAAACAGACCCTTCTGTCCAATTCATCCATGATGACCAGGTATCCTAAATTAACCTAGTCTCATTTGCCTGCATTGGGCTCATATCCCTCTAAAAGCATCCTATTCATATACCCAACCAGATGCCTTCAAATGTTATAATTGTACCAGCCTCCACCACTTCCTCTGACAGCTCATTCCATACATGCACCACCTCAGTGTGAAAAGTTGCCCCTTTAGGTCCCTTTTAAATCTTTCCCTTCTCACTGTAAAACTATGTCCTCTAGTTTTTAACTCCCCTAACCTGTGAAAAGACCTTCACTATTCACCCAATCAATACCCCTCAGAATTTTATAAACCTCTACAAGGTCACCCCTCAGCCTCCAACACTCCAGGAAAAATAGCCCCAGCCTATTCAACTGCTCCTTATAGCTGAAGCCCTCCAATTCTGGCAACATCCTTGTAAATCTTTTCTGAATTACTTCAAGTCTAACAAAATCTTTCCTAAAGCATGGAGACCAAAACTAAACACAGTATTCCAAAAGTGGCCTAACCAATGTCCTATACAGCCACAATATGACCTCCCAACTCCCACACTCAATGCACTTGAAATGCCATACAAAGTTATGGGCCAAGTGCTGGAAAATATGATTAGAATAAATAAATGCTTGACGAGAAATCACACAATACCTGGTTATTGTCCAACAGGTTTATTTGAAATCACAAGCTTTCAAAGTGCTGCTCCTTCATCAGCTGAAGATTTCACCTGATGAAGGAGCAGTGCTTCTAAAGCTTGTGATTTAAAATAGCCTGTTGGACTATAATCTGGTGTTGTGTGACTTCTGACTTTGCCCCACCAGTCCAACACAGGCACCTTCACATCATAAATGCTTGATGACAGGCATAGATACGATGAGCCAAGGACCTTTTACCATGCTGTAAAAGCTCTATAACTCTAAAACTCTCTAACTCTAGAATTATGATACAAATTGAAGAACAACATAGCCCAAGCCTTAATTCACTTTGGAATGTTTATGTTGAGAACTAAAGAGTGCATTCCATTACCAAATGAAGGCAAGCTCGTTTTTTCAGTAACATGGACAGTCATTTGCTCATGCAACAGACATTCAGACTCCCAAATTTGCCTGGAATTTGCTGTCAGTGGTGAATAAAGATATGTACTATATATTATGTCTACACTTGACATCAGGCTTTCTATGGGATTTATACTGAAATTCACTGTCATCAAGGAGCCACAAGTGCAGCATTCTATGTGAACAAGATGAAAAATTTGGTCTCCCAACAAATCAGATTTCATCAATTATTAGTAAAGCAGAGAATGAACCAAGAAATGCAAATTAGAGAATTAATTGAGTGTTAAATTATGTGTATAAAACAAAACAAACAACGAAAGGTGAAGTTCAGTTTTAAAATAGGTAAAAAAAAGTAAATGAAAAACATTAAAATCTTCAACAATCACTAGAATCTGCAGAAATAACACCATACACTTGTAAAATTCATTTTTAGAGTCATAAAATAAGATAGTAAGATGGTAATTGAGACATATTGCAGAATTTAAAAGCTAGTTATGATGGAATGGACAAACCCTAACCTTTATAGTGAGACTAATAGGTACAAAAGGTAAGTAAAGCAATGACACAACATTCTATTTGTATATTGTACAGTCTGCTGGCAACATATCAATATTGTGCAACGTTGAAGAAACAGGGTATCCTGAACAGGAACTCTTTAATTTCTTCTTGTAAATTGTATGTGTGTGTTCAAGATTGCTTTCTAATCTCTATGTGAATAACCATGAAAACTGTTATTCCACCACTTTTTCTGTCACAAAATTTAGCCTATTAAGCTTGTGCAGGTTTCAGCTTATGATTATTGTTTACCTCTATGAGTTTTAAAATGGTAGTTGTGTATGCCAATGGCAATATTTAATGGAGACAATGGGATGTCTCCTGGTGCTGGAGAGGTGACCTCTTTTCAAGAAGGCCCGCAACATTAAATGTCAATCAGATATTCAACTGGGAAACGGTATATCCTATTGGTATACACTCCCATCCCTCCCAGGTGAAGGATTGCAATTGATATGTGAGATATGATAGGGTGTGGGGGAGGGGATTGAGGGCACCAAGGGCAAGACCTGTCTTTCAATGAGACATTGAGTTCCTATTGTTGAAGGAACCCCGAAGACCATTTCAGATTTCCCACGTAGCTGTCTCCCACCTGCCAATTGGCTAAATACCATTAATTACCCACTTAAATGTTTCAATTAGTAGTGAGGCAGGAAGGCATTCCGGGTGGTTCTGGGAAGTTGACAGGTGACTTTCCCCCCAAGCTGCGTGGTTGCATGCCCATGCAGCCACGCATAAAGTTGTTCAGCTGACCAGATATCCTTAATTAATCTAGTCCCATTTGCCAGCGTTTGGCCAAATATCCCACTAAACCCTTCCCATTCATGTACCATCCAGATGCCTTTTAAATGTTGCAATTGTACCAGTCTCCTCCTCTTCCTGTGGCAGCTTATTCCATGTATGCACTACACTGCTTGAAAAGGTTGGCCATTAGGTCTGTTTTATATCTTTTCCCTTTCACCTTTAGTTTTGGACTCCCCTACCCTGGACAGATAACCTGGGATATTCACTCTATCCATGCCCCTCATTATTTTATAAACCTCTAATAAGGTCACCCCTCAGCCTTTGATGCTCCAGGGAAAATAGCCCCAGCTTATTCAATGTCTTCCTATAGCCCAAACCATCAAACCCAGCAACATCCCTGTAAATCTTTTCTGCACATTGATAATAGAACATAGAACTGTACAGATGCACAGATAGGGGAACGAGCCCTTTGGCCTAAGATGTTATGTTGAACATGACACCAAATTAACCAAATCACTTCTGCCTGCCCTTGGTCCATATCCCTCCATTCCTTGCATATTCACGTGCTTATCGAAAAGTTCCTTGGACTGGTAGTGCGCTCAAGACTTCTACCACACCCTGTGTAAAAAACCTGCCCCTCATGTCTCCTTTGAAGTTTCCCCCTCTAACCTTAAACACATGTCCTCTAGTATTAGATATTTCATCTCTGGGAAAAAGATTCTGACTGTCAACCCTATCTATGCATCTCATAACTTTATAGAGTTCTCTCAAGTGTCCCCTCAGCCTCCGCCTCTCCAGAGAAAACAACACAAGTTTTTCTAGCCTCTCCTTACAGCTGAAACCCTCTAATCCAGGCAGATTCCTGGTAAACCTCTTCTGCACCCTTTCCAAAGCCTTCACATCCTTCCCGTAATGTGGCGACCAGAATTGAGCATGGCCTAACCAAAGTCTTATAAAGCCGCAACTTGACATCCTGACTCTTGTACTCAATTCCCTGGCCAATAAAGGCAAACATGCCATACACCTTCTTTACCACCTTATCTACTTGCATGGCCACTTTTAGGGAGCTATATACTTGAATCCCATAGTCCTTCTGTTCATCAATACTGTCCAGAGTCCTGCCATTAAGTGTATACATTTCCTTAACATTTGA